GGGGGGGATTTACTAGCGGCAATTAGCAATCATGACGAAATGGACACTGATTGGCCTTCATTTTGATGCTCTCCGACCAGGTTCTTGTCAGGAATTGTGCCATTAGGCGGATCATTATCTGCAGATCGTTTAGTGTATGGCCCCTTTTCCGTTCAACCCTTGATGCAAGAAGTTCCTGGCGTGGGTAGCTTGTCGTTACCATTGTATAAATCAGTCTTGTTGACTGTCTGACTAAAAACGATAGCATCATACATAACATCATACCTTATAGATGAAATTGCATAAGTCTACCACTTTTCAGAAATTTTAATTTCCCTATTTTCTTTCAAAGTTTGGAAGTTGGGATAAGGTCAGTTATACCGTCATATGAAGTTCTGATAAAAAAAACTCCCAAGTGAAGCAGAACCTACATGTCTCTGGCAGCACACGGTACGTATATGTGCAGGATTCAAATTCATTCCATCGTTCCATTTATCGTTTACTCCCGAATGTTTACGTGGTCTTCTTCCATTCCAATATACCAAGCTGAGGTTACCTAATATCCACTGATTGAATCAGATTTCCAAGCCGAAAAAAGTGTAATGTTATTCGAACGTCCTCGGTCCTATTTCTTCTCTGACACCACTCCCATTTCCGCCGTTCAGTAAAGATTCCTCCGCCTGCTGTTTACCATATAGCGGATCACCAACCGAATTATCCTTTTATGGCTAAAGGCCATCTCGAAATAGAATTGGTCGGCTGTGAATAACATATTCGCTAAATCCGACTGCCGTACGGCCTTCTGTTAGAGAGCATCGAGTGGCTAGATGTGTATGTCTATGACCTTCTCAAAGTATATATGTATTATACATATATATCATATATGACATGCAAAGTAGCATTCATAAAATGTGTCTATATTAGTATTTCGAAGGTGAGGTAGTTCTTCCGCACGAATCAATTCGAGAAACTTCACTTTCTAACTGTTTTGCACCCTTTTTATTCTCATTCCTGAACTCAAAAGGAATTGTTGGTGTACTTTTGGTACAATATTATTATCTAGTTTGGTTCTCAAATAATTGTGGATGTAAGAGCAAACCAATTTTCTCGAATGAATTCATGAAAAATGGGGCATTTATTCATGAGTATATATCCGTTAGAGATGCTTTACTTCTGAGTAAACGTTTTGGTCATTGATGCATGAATTTTTTCCAAGCCCATTCTTGTCTGTCTGTAGATTCAACTGTATGATTGCGTTTGAGGAACTGCTGCCTTTTTGATTACTGTTCAATTTTAAACATAGACTCCCCTTTCAGCTCAGATGCCCATTACGTAGCCCATTTTCTTCAACTGTCACCACTTTTTAGAATAAATGATACATATGTACCTGGGCCATCGATCTTTTGCGTGATCATTAATCATTAATAAATGATTAATGGTCATGAAGGACATGGCGTGAGAAACTTAGGTGGATGTTGAGGGCCATCCAATGGTAGCAGCTGTGTGTTGCTNCCTTTAACTCCTTGGTCCTCGGTCATGGATGATTAGTTGGATCAGGATAGGCAAGTTGAAGTCGGCGGTGTTTTATTAGAAAGTGGCAATAGTCGATATGCTCATGGCGATTACCTACACTATTACGTGGCAGAGTAGATCGATGGGAAACTGAGGCGTTCTGTTCCTGCCGATGCATTTAGTTACCTGACGATTCCTAGCAACTTCCACTGAGAGACCAGCTTTGCATGTGGAACCGATTTGGCTGTTTATTATCTGCTAGTTGCTTATGCATTATGAACACATATAGCTAGAGCTATAGTTTGCATACATATGACATATTTATACTTGAAGTCGCTCTGAATTCATGTTGAAGAAATGAATACTTCCAATTTTGAGTAGGCCTTTCTTTAGTGCTCTTTTACCGATACACTAACTGCCCCTCACGTTTACTGATTTCCAGTTCTACGATCAGTTGAGTACATCGGTAATAGGGGAGACGGCACGTGCTTAGGGCATTTCCCATAATAAGTATCGTGAGTTTGTTATTGTCACACCCTCTGAAATAATCTTCTTTAAAAATTTATCCTTCATGGTATAGTATGACCCTAGTTTCTCATCTAATTTCAAAATCATTTATCATTTACTGGTTTACTACAGAAAATCATATCTAGTGATCAGAGAGCATATTTTTGCTTGACCTATATGCTAGAAGTCAGAGTAAGAATAAGAAGATCGAAACCCAAGCAACGATGGCAAGAAAGGTGATAAGCCGTCAGCCTCGGCTGTTAGGATCATTCTTTAGTTCCTTCCATGCTTACCATTTATGCCGCGCTTTGCCAAAAATGGCCTGTCAGGGGACATGCGAATCAATTCAAGAAAATTGTATGAATGCATGATTCGAATCAAGGAAATTTGTCGTCGATGTCGACTTTTCGTGATGTAGAGGTCATCAGTATTCATGGCTCACTGATAGATTCTTGATAAATTATACAAAACTCCGCATTGGTTTCAGGGAGTTTCCTCACCTGAAACAGGAGCTTCTTACGTTGTCTAACTCATTTTACACTTCAATTCGTAAATCATTCTACTTTATCGGAATTTTGCGGTCTAATACTCACGTGGATTACAAATTGTACTGTTTTTCTCATAAAAACTTATTTATACCCCCATAGTAGTTTCAGATTACTTTCACTGAACATCGACGCCACTCCGCTCAATGTGACGATGGCTGGTATGCGTTTTCCATGTTACACGTTTTTCTTTTACTTGTTTTACAACTTACAAAACTTATTAATCCACTTCAATAAACAAGCAGCTTTCGTAAATTTGTAAAAAAAAACATAACTAGTAGAGTAAGCATAACGAACAAATCCTGAACTTGGGTCTTAGAACGTCACCTTGAAGGTATGCTTCTTATTGTTGTGGTTCTAGTAATCATAATTTCTATTTTTGTCTTCGCCAAATAGACCATTTTAAGTCGAGATAGTTTTCTTTCACATCCCACTTCATTTAGTATTCAATACAAAACAACTCGTTTAATTTGCCGATTATTCATTTTCCCTTCTGAACGGAAGTTTTGCAGACCACCGTTGCGGCCCTCATTACTCCGGGGCCGCTTGCGACTGGCCAATCTGCGTCCATGGAGTCGTAGATCCAGCGAGCCGGCTATGTCAATGCTATAATCATTTTGCACCTCCTTTCTGCGAATTTTGCCTACCGGGTAAACANNAGGTTACTGGGCGGAAGCGTGCGATCGCGAAATCCTTCCGGCCATGCCCGAACCACTACTGCCTCCCTTTTTCGGCCACGTGGTCGTTTACTTAGTAGTCGTGTTTCTCGTACTTCTCATTTACTTTGCATTTGGCAGGTAAGTCTACCTGATATTACTGGCCTTAATTACTGCTAGCAATGGTAACAGAACAAATGCTTCTTACAGGTGTCGTTCAAAGCCACCACCCTACGAGGAGGTTATTCAGGAAGCTCCACCTCCACCCTATTATCTCATTTAACCTTTAGGGTCAATCACGGTTACTTTGTTCTGCTCATCGATTCTCTGCATGACAATCACGATTGACGTGCTTATGATATTTGCTTATGATGATTCGATACGTATGACGTGTACTGCATACTATATTACATCTGTTACAAACTGATCATGGATTACTGTATTTCACAAACTTCACGTATACTTACTTTTCTCCAATTATGACAGCGAATTTTTCGAATACAAAATGTTCTTTCACTGGAAATGACAGATGCATCAAAACACTACCATGGCATGTGCATCTCACAAGATAACGCCTATCTTCCCAGTATGGATTAATTATTCTTCCACTTAGCGGATGAATTGAATTGTTCGTCAGAAGGGTAACTTCATTTCCGCTCCTTATTGCTTGGCTGCTCATATTCTGTTCATTGGAGGTGCAGAAAATTAGTTCTAGAGGAGAAGTTGGAAAACTGGCATTCTCTAAAGTATTTAGCTCCCATCAATCAAAAGAAGGCTTACAGGCAACGAACTACATTTTCGATATCGTACATCTCTGCAAAAAGTTTGCTACAAGCTCATCAAATAATGCATGCGAAACGGAAGGTGTACAACGAGGATGGCTAGAAGTTGAGATCAACGTCGTTCTCGATTTTTCTTCAGCGCCTTTATCCAGAGAAATGGCATCTGATGTAGTAGGGGCGGATTTTTCGTTTTTAGTAGACGGGGTGCTCGTAAAGATTAAGCTGATTCTACGGTAGTCGAAATACAGGGTGCGCCATGAATATGGTAACAATTTTGCGGAAGTCTGCGATTAGAGAGTTTATCCAAATCTGCATCTTCTAATATGTTTATGATATGCCTCAGCTCCGATATCTGCTTTGGTGCCCTTAAGTGGTCAGTTTTCGAATAATGGTGAAGCCTTGAAATGATATTCCGTCATTGCGCCCATTTGGTGAGTTCTTTTTCAAGCTCATTGAAAAATGCATTGAAATGAAGTTGTTTTGACATTCCTTGCAGTATTGAACTGAGATTCGTGAACAGGTCGACGACAAGACGGTCGTCTTGCATCAGTTATGACCCCTTTTCCGAATACAATTGCTTGGGACACATTACGTTGCGAAACTTCAAAACCACGAGAAAAATGAGTGCCGAATTGAATGTATGCTTGACTTCGATTTCTGGTCGCTTCAGAATTCGAGATGGTAATGGGAAAGAGACTAGCGATTCGGCGGACCGTTTTTGAACATTGAAAACGTGTTCCAAATTCGATCGAAAACGGTCCGATTGAAAGGTCAGGTTGGGTTGAGTGGAAATAGAAAGGATATAATACGCTCGAATGAAAGACACTGATGAATTGGAAGAGTCGGAGCATCTGTTACACTACTTCACTAAAATCCTCTTGCGTAAAGTTCAGTGAAAACCGCCAGGTCCAGTCAAAAAACTGTCTTGTAAACTGGTAAGGTCTTGGGTTGTCCCATCAAGTCGGTAACTGTTCAAAAGCAGATGACCTAAATGGTAGCAGTGGCAGAAAAGTTAGGGACAGCGAAAATTGTAATGAATATCAACATTTACCACAATAGAAGCACGCCTTATTCACTTTCGGCGAGGCTTTGATGGCACTATAAACGGTGATTAGACGCGAGCTGAATCTATGAAGGAGAAGGCACAAAAGGACGAATACAAATGCTGACAAAAGAGGCGAACTTCAGACGACCTAACTCTTTACAGAAGTTGCTGTAGGCAGCTCTGCTGTAGGCATATTTTTGCTCAAGTCGGTATCCATTACAAATTGTATGATCAAGTTGATTGCGTAGTTTCTGAGGCATGAAAAACGCTTGCAGATACGAGTGGCACTTTTTAAGAGTTGAGAAATAGACAAGTTTCTATCATAAGCTACTCTACCGAAGATCAAAAGAGCTGACATCACGTGCGACCATCTGTGCGAAGACTGTAAAGTTGTCTGAAATTCTCGGACTTCAGTTTACCAGAAATAAGTCTCAATGGTCCCGTGAATGTGTGACACAGTAACCCGAACACATGCTGAAGCGCCTCCAAATACTCGTCACATATACGACGCAAACCAAGGGTACCTCGGGTGAAGCACAAGGAGGTAGTTGATGGAGTACTACGGGGTTACCGTGTCACACGTTCACGGTTAAAATCCTTCTATTACAGTAATAGCATGAAAAATAGCGGCAAGAGGCCGCCTATTAATAAATGTTCCACTCACTGTGGAAAATAAGAAGAGAGACGTAATCGTTTCCTCCCCTAAGGCTCAAAGCATTCGGAATTGATTAGGTTTTCTTACCCGGAAGTTGATCAGACAAGAGAAAAAACAAAATGCAGAAAAAAAATGAAGTGCGACACAATATTACAGGCAAAACATAGAAGCTTGGCAACAAGATGTTTTGCCACAGCTCCTCCACTTACTATTTTAGCAAGTGGTGCATCGGAACAGCTAAAAGCTGCTTGTGTTCTCTGTCAGTACGGCGTCGTTCCAATTTTGCTTCAAAATGCTTAGCCCGGCACAATTGCGGAATGTGTTTGCAACACAGACACCTCCTGCCTTTATCATGCTAGTTGCTAAATCCAGGGTTCCAAACAGTTCTACTCTAGTTTTCGGGCCAAACTCCACACGAGCTTCCATCTTCAAGGCATAGCACAGTGTTCTGAGAGTTCTGATAGGCATGGGGGAGGGGGGAGCATTTCCCTTGCCACTGTGTACAGATGCGCTGTTAATATCCGACTTATAATTATAATCCTCTTTCCGATCGTCGAGTTGTGCCACCCCTACCATCGGTTGGTAGCAGTCGACTCTGACCGTATCCTGCAGAGTATACAAAACGAGTAGTTCGTCTGATTAACTTATCCGCCTTCTGATCTCGATCAGGCCGCCCAATCTCTGAACCGATATTGGTATACCTGAAGTAGTCGGCAGAAAGATCAGCACCTATCCAACTGAGATCACGCAAAAGACGAGTGGGTGGCGCGAAGGAAGTGCGGGGTGATTGGATTTTCAAGTGAGTAGACATACTCACACATCCGGCCTGATCTTAATGAAACCTCCCGGTCACTTCGTCACTCCAAAAATCGGTAAGTGATCGAAATTGTTTGACGAGAGAAGATTGTGATTCTCTACAAGAGGGTTCTGTGTGTTGAGCAGGAAGCTCGACATTGGGAGGGACTCAAACTGGTGTCCATGATTCCCATTAAGCACATATATTCCTGGTCTGATTGTGATGGATGATTATCGCTCAGAAGAAGAAATAAGGCCATCCAAGCGCAAGTGCAAATAGTACGATCGTGATCAGAATTAACNCATGTCAACATCCATCGTATGTGTCGCGACGGGCGTTCACTCCACGGGCACGATGATGGAAAGAAGTTGTGGAGTGAACGCCGCCGTGACTTCCGCGAAGAGCACAAGGGTACTGCCTTGTTAACCTCGCCTTGCCACGGTGTTGGCGGTCCTCTTCCTTGTGCGGTGCCCATTAGTGTTATCTGCGTCCCTGCGATCCAGTTACAACGACCCTCGTGGCCCTACGCTTAAACACGCCCCTGCACTATCCCCATGACACTGCTCTTAGAGATTAAGATTTTGAAAGACTAGTGTTAGCAATCATGTGGTCCTTATATCTATGAGATGTACTATGCGCATGATTGAGTAAAGAAAATATTATAATAGATAGAGATATATTCTTCTTGCTACATAACAAAACATGAAAGAAATAAGTGGCTTTATGCTTTATTACAAAGTAAAGGTGAGCTCCACTAAAAAATCCTACGGGATGGTACCTCACCTTACTAGGGGTCGCCAATGCGCGTCGACTCTCCTGCTCATGCGTAGTGGCGCTAGCCGGGGGCGTTCGGCACGTCCGGTCGCCACTCGCAGCGGAGCAAGAGTTCCCACTCCATTTATCCACACGACGACCGGGATTCCACCTTCCGCGGGCTGCGCACCAGGGGCTGTCCGGGGAATGAACAGCAGCGCAGAGGGAGATCGGGATACCGTCACCATCAAAATTATAAACCTTACCCGTGATCGTGTGGAACAATCCTCAGCTTGCCGGTCTTTGATAGAGACTGCGCATATCCTGTGATCGTCCGATTCCGTAGAAAAGTTAGTAGGAATAGCCGACGTCGGACTGCGGACGAATAGCTTGAGGGTAGCGAGGGAATACCGAAGATGGGGTAAGGAACCATGCAGAGCTCCAGCCGAATCGTGTGCGGTGCAAGTCGAGACTGACGAAGACTGCCTTCTTTTTTAGACCAACTTTTCCTGCCCGCAGATACGCAGGCAAAGGCTGCAACGCAGTTGCGCGGTAGGACCCAGTGCGGAACTCTGACGACCGTCCAATAGACATCGGAGTAGCTCTGCGCGTGAGATGTAGTGCAACGGCCGCAATAGAAGACGGTACGCAAAGAGGTCGTACGAAAGTCACGACAGTATGATTGAGCTAGTGTATGAATTTGAATCATCTATACAATATCTAGGTACTGAAAAAACGAAATTAACAATAGATAGCACATTAGGTACATATTTATTTGTGTAGGTAATAGAAGTGCCGTACTGTTGATAGCAATAGTAGCACATTTTGGCTCAAAGATCTTTCACAACTTCGCATTTCCCTCGTTCGTACATATCGTAACAACTCTTGCTGTCTAATTGGTTTTTACAATCCTGAAACCGGTAGTGTATGAGAAAATTGAATACTACTCGAGTTCATGCATGTTCTACTACAGTAACAGGATTGTACTGAAATGTGAATACGAGATCAAGTTTAGCATGCTGTATTCATTGGCATAAAAATGTAACTCACTGATTTAGGTTTTTTAGGCTCCTCAGGCGTGCACCACTCGCAAGTTTTAGCACAGACTATCTTCGCAAAATGAACAGAACTTCCCATTAAGCACTTCCCCTGCTTTTAAATCGAAAACAGAGCCGAGTTCAGCCTTGCCCACACACGGCTGAAAAGAGTGGCATCTTATAGATAATCAAATTCTAGAATTCGAGCACTTCCG